GGGTGATGGAGGCGAATGAAAGGCTCAATGGTGCCGACCTGAATCGAGTACGTATAGTGACAAAGCAAAAAATTCGAGCATCACAGTTGCCAGATCCGTGGCGGACACCAACCTCGTCTTCCTGTCCGTATAGTTCAAATTCGCCATCAGAGTTGGTATGCGTCTCAGCCAGAAGGTCGTTAGGGTTCACTGAAACGCGTTGAATTTCAATTAGGAGTTTTCGAAGCTTGGAAGACTCACAGGGCAACGGTATCAGCTGGCACTTTTTTGCTCTGCACCCTCTCATCGAGACGGTGTGAGGTGAGCAGCGAACTGTGGTGAGAAAGAAGACAAGAAGATCGTAGGCGTGACCTGGTATTCCCACTAGTCTTTCGAACACGACTAACCCTGCTCCCATTGTACTAATCAGATCTCTTTAGAGTGCCGATAAGCTAAACTTAAAATGCTGAATAGCGGAAGCAACTAGTGGCACTCCAATATCACCTCTGGATCGCTCGCGATAGGCGATCGACTCCGTGTCGCGATTCGCTAGCGCCGATCAGGCGCGTCATCGCACCCTACGATAAGGCGACTAACAATAAGTGCGAAGTATCGGGTGTGCTTCTAGGCTATGGACTCTTGGCACACACTGCGCAAGTGCACTGAAACCTTCTGCACCTCTCTAATACTGCACTGTGACAAGTAAAATCAATACTTAATGACAGAGATTTCGGCTCAAAAAACTCACATGTGTCCTTGTCGTATAGCTCGACATGAACGTTTCCCAAACGTTTCTTATTGCATACAGCAATACCTTTGACGGTCACATTCTGCATTGTAGCAGAAACAGATAGGTAGCAAGCAGCCGAGATGGCAAGGAGTACAAGGGATCGCATGTTCTGAACAGTTCCAGTAAGCAGTAGAAGTTGGTCGTGACAGAGCAGTTAGACGTGAGGAACTGTAGCAGATTAGACGTGAACATGGTCGCAATGCAAACAGTTCTGTCTGATTTTTCACTGGCCGTTCTTCAAAAAGTTTGGGTATTAGGGGGCAAAATTAGGAAATGGCGCTGTTTTTAACGAGCGCCATTTCCTAATTTTGCAATAAGATCAGTGAACGGGCGTCAAAGTTAAGCCCTTTGTAGGTATGTTTTCCACCCTTCGGATTTTTCTCGGCATTATTACTGGGCTCATCTGAAAAACTGTCATGCACCTTGGACCCCGCAGGTCGTTGTGCAGACCTTTTGAATTCCAGCAGGATTCTGGGCGGAAGTGGAACGCTTGGCCCACTCAAGAGAACTCCAAGTGGTTTATCACTCCCGTTCCACCGAGACAGCTTGATAAAGCCCGTTCACTGATAAGTGCGTTGAAAGGAGCAGCGCCCTAATTGCCTCCTTTTTGGAATGCGCCCTGCATCCTATTGCCTTCGACATTGCGGTGGCATTTGAATAATTTGGTCTATACAAATATCAGCCTACGCAAAGGTCTTTGTTTTCACCTTCCCAAACGAGGCCGGTGCCATAGCCAAGAGGTTATGGAAGAATTGGAAGGACCGGAAGAGTCAACCCTGGATTGACTACTGCATGGTCAAGATGGGTGAGACAGCGCCACTTGCACCTTCGCCGCATAAGATGAATAGGTGACCTCTTAACTCTGAAGGGCGAATATGAAAAGAAATTCGGAGGGTTCGATGAAAAAAAGTAGCACAAGCAGAAACAGAAGAGGTGGCTGCTGCTGCTGCTTCCGCCCCAGAAGAAGGAGTTCAGTGGAATAATGGCACGAGATCAAATAAGAAAGCCTGCTGGGAAGGTTGTGCTCCATGTACCTCTCGTTGCCTCTTTTTATAGGCCTGAACAGAGTAGCGGCAGCTGCTCGATTATACTCGTTGTTGTGCTGTTGTTGTGCTCACTACATCTGATCATTGAGATCTCCCTAGGATCTCGAGCAAAAAACATATGGTAAACAACTAGCAACTTTACGATTATATTTGAGAAATTGAATGCATATATGTTTTTTCTGCGATTAAGAAACATTATTTTATAGTGAAGGGTTTTTTAAAAGAGGCTTTAGTAAAGGAAGGCAGACTTTTTAGTAAACAAAATGCAGAAGAAGCGCAGTTTGGCTTAGAGGGGTATTTTGCACTTTTGCGCTTTCTGTCGACGTATCGAGCCATCAAGTAAATACCTGTAAATTCCTGTGACGCCACGAAGTACATACTGCTGAGTCGCTGCAACTCGTAGGACCCGTTTCTAGAGCGTCTCGCGACTTCAGGAGGTTTTGACATCCACCTTCCAGCGGAAACGATGCTGCCGTTTGAGCAGCATGAAATGGACGCACAGTTGCTACTTTCAGGGTCAAAGGTTCATTAACAGTAAACAGCGGGCAGAATTTCCCCACATCAGGTCCCCCCTCTTTAAACCTTGTGCTCGTGCACTTGCTTGAGCGTGTAGGGATCCTTTTATAAGCGTTTCCAACATTTTCTGTCGGATTCCCGCTACTGACAAGTCTCCGTTGACGACTTCTCTCAGATTTCAGCACACCATGTACGTTTCGGCGAAGCGGGAGGCGGGGGGGGGGGTGGCATTTTGCACGATCGCTACATCCCATCGACGTCTCGACCCATCTAGACAGCCTTATTCTCGAGTTGACACGTTTTAAGGTGATGACTTGACGAGCTTGCTCCAGCTTCACAGGTTTCACCAGAGTGAGACTTGTAAACCGGAACTCGTGAAGCAACGAAAGAAAAATGCCTCCCCGCCCCCCGTCGCGAATGCACGTCCTTCAAGTCGCTGTTATTCGTTAAACGCCGCTCAAGTCATCTTCATGGCAGCTGTTGGATAGGCAATCAAAGATTCAGCCAAGAGGAACATGATAGTGCCAGATGGTGGCTGGATCTGGTGCTGCTTCACCGCAGGTGGATCCTGAATTGCTAATTGTCAAATCTTCGAGGGTTCATGTAGAACGCCCACAGTAGATGTTCACCTCTCTTCTTTTGCGGGCGCTTGCGCATTGCAAAGGGTGCTCTGCACAAGAATACGGAAGACATATTCAAGAAATCAGAACTTGGTGGAGCCTATGTGTGGTCTTTGATCAAGTCAGCTTCCTTGGAAAACACCTCATCGTCTCATGTTTTCAGACTGAGCGTAATTTCGCTTATCCGATGTTGATGCTGATCGTTGATGTAAGTTGTCGCCCAGACTTACATAATTCTAAGTGGTGCTCATAAAAAATCCGGCGAACGGATATAACTCTAAAATAAACTGGAGTAGCAGCTACAGAAGCAGCGAACAAATGGTCTAAAAAATAGAACGGTACGGATTTGGTTCGCTTTATGTAACATACTCAAGATTTCAGAAATTTTTTCCAAGAAATCTTGTAGCAAATTAGTGAGTTTCTGGGTTTATGGGACGATTACCCCATCACAATACTGGACTGTAGCGAGGGTGCCGGAGCTGCACGTTTTTTAGAGATCTCCAGATCGAGAGTACTGGTCTCCAGCCCATGGGTGACTCCATACAAGAAGTTTCGCAGCTGTTTGGAGGTGACGTGAATTCCAAAGGCCTTCTCCAGTCAGGCTGCGATTGGAGATGGCTTCATATTTTGGTGTACATGAAGGTGATGGGCGAGAGCCTGCTCCTGCTTATCGAGGAACATCTTGGGTATCTTCCGCCCTGGTACTCGTATCCACGTCTTGCTGCGAAAACTTTGCTGATATGTGACTCGGTCGAAGTGTCTTTTTTGCCCCCCTTTTATATTTACATGTGCTATTTATTTTTTTTTCGAGGCAGAGATGGTGTAAGGGCAATTGGCCCTACTCAGAACGTGCTCAGTTATTGTTGATTGTAGTTAAGTAGAATGCTTACCGCATCTCAAAAGGGATTGGCCAACGACTTTGCACTTTTTATCCTTCATTGTTCGTTCTTGTTTACGTGTCTAGAGGTGCTTTCAAGAACATGAGGGAGTAGTGAAGAAGAGGAAGAACACCGGGGTCCGTGTCCACCTCTTTGATTCCGCGGTCCTTCCTGAGCCTCGGAGACTTGGATTCTACGAAAGCAGGATGAGCACGCGGTCAGCGTCGTTGCGCTCTATCGGAAAGGGCGATGCTCGGAGTTTCCCGCTACACGCAAGTAAGAGGGAATCTGGAGCTCCGCACTCCGCCGACGATCGAAGATCAGAGACGCCGCCGCATTTGCCAAGGTTTCGAAGATCAGGTGGGCCGGGCACGTCATGCGTTTCGAGGACGACCGCTGGACCAGAGCGATTACCGACTGGATTCCGTTTAATGTCAAGCAACACCTAGACGACTGCCTACGCGATGGTCGGAGTTCTTCGTGAAAGCTCCGAACGAATGGTATGAAGTTCAACGTCTCCTTCGGCGCAGAGAACCCAATTGGGCTAACTCTTGCACGTTGCAGAGGACGAATGGAGACGTTACTGGCGTTCACTCGAGGAACTCGATGATCAACGGGAGCACAGGTGATACAAGGTGATTGTTCGTTTATGTCGCATTCAAAAAGTACGGCACTATTTACCCTTTACTGCCCCAGTCATCCGAAATCAGGCCAGTTCCTGACCGACTTTTTTCTCCGTGGGCAGAATTTGCTGAAAACTTGGCTCCAGGGGTAGTTCGACCCGCTGAACACGAATATCGCATCCGCTTGACCCGAAACCTCCTGGCGCCCGCGCCACGGGCGCCGGCGCCAAAATACTCTGAATCACTAAACTGGCTGAAAGTTTGTCAACTAGGGTAAATTGACCATGTGAACACGAATTTCACATTCATCTAGTGGATCGTTGGGTTAGTATTAATCGATTTCCGCAACCATGCTCGGAATTCATGAGAATCCATTTTGAGCTTCTCAACTAGGTCGAGCCATTTGAAATCAGTCAGCTCCATCTCGCGGTTGCGGCGATGAAGTACGTTCAGAGCCATGAGAATAGCTAAATGAGGAGCAAAGGGGCTTCCCAAGTTAATAGGTCAGTTTTGAAGACGTCACCACGAGAAACACTCAATTCCCACACGATTCCGTGGGAAATCCCATTTCCCACGAGCTTGCGTGTGAAAGCTGGGCGAGCGCGGGATTTTCGAAGAAGCGTTGGTCATGCATTTTTTCATGCAATATGGAAGTGGTATTCGTGATCAGGGGGTCAAACTACCCCTGGGAGCAAGTTTTCAGCGAATTTGGTGATTTCGAGTATTTTGGCGCCGGCGCCCGTGGCGCGGGCGCCAGGAGGTTTCGGGTCAAGCGGATGCGATATTCGTGTTCAGCGGGTCGAACTACCCCTGGAGCCAAGTTTTCAGCAAATTCTGCCCACGGAGAAAAAAGTCGGTCAGGAACTGGCCTGATTTCGGATGGCTGGGGCAGTAAAGGGTAAATAGTGCCAAATTTGAAACACTCCTCTAGTTCCCTCAGA